CCGCTGCTGGCACCTGCGGGAGATGCTGCCGTGAAGGACCGGGGGCTCTGGGACCCGCAGGAGATGCTGCCCTGCGGGACCGGGGGTTCTGGGACCCGCAGGAGATGCTGCCCTGCGGGACCGGGGGCTCTGGGACCCGCAGGAGATGCTGCCCTGCGGGACCGGGGGTTCTGGTACCTGCGGGGGATGCTGCTCTGCGGGACCGGCGGTTCTGGTACCTGCGGGGGATGCTGCTCTGCGGGACCGGGGCGCTCCGGAGGTGGCCGCTCCAGCAGCAGCCAGGGGAAGGATGAGCTGGAGCTCTGGTGATAGCTGGGACCTCCCTCCTGGCGTTGTTGTAAATGACAGGGTTGCTTCATCGCTCCTTATTCGCTGGACTGTACAGCGTTACGGAGAGCTTTGGAAACGCTACGGGATTTTAACCTTTTGGCCTTTCAAAAGCTCAGAATGGACTCCTGGTTCCCAAACCCTTTTGAGGAAGGACGGGAGAGTCGGGGGATGCACAGCAGTGATATTGTTAACCCACGGTTTTGCTCATTAATAAGTAGATAAATTAATTAGTAGTGCTGTTCTGCCAGATGCACATTTGTTCACAAATAATGCAGTTTAGGGTAAGTGGAACGCAGATATGGTTACTGATCTGATTAAATACAAAAATCTGGAAAATTCTGTCTCTTAAAGTGATGATGGGCTGCTGGTCAGTACTAAAAGTGATCTTTGTTTTGGACTGGCAGGTACTGGAGAGACTGCATGGTTTCTTTTTCAGCAGCAACAATATTCAATTTTCCTGTGCCAGAAAAGTCTTGTTCAAACAGACTTGGTTTTCCTAGACCAAAAATGTGATGCTGAGTTCCAGAGCTGTGTCTTTCAGCACTTTTCTATTTTACTGCCTGCCTCAAATTCCTCACACCAGAATAAAACCATGTTTAATGAAAATCAGGAACATTTTGGCTTAGCAAAGCAGAAGAGGTTACTTGTGCCTGTGACAATTCCTGTTTTGTGCAGGACATTAATTCCTGCCCAGGGCTGAACATTTGGCTTTGACTGCAATATTCACAAGCACGGTTTGTGAGACACACTGTCAGGAAGGAATTTACCGGAGATAAAAGGGTCCCTTAGCAGTGACTAATGGCCCAGCCCAAATATTAGTTTTACACTTAGTCCAGATCCATGTCTGAGGGAAACAGCAGCTGTTCCCCACGCTGGGGCCATGAGGAGGAGCATCCTCCACTGCCCCTCTCAGGGCCTGGTCCTGGTCAGTTCCTGCAGGTATTTCTGCTTTGGGACTTTTCTCCTCTGTCCTTTATTCCTCAGTCTCATCCTTCACCCCAAAACAGCAACGTGCCCTGGTCAGAAATACACTCCTTTCTGTGCCACTGCTCCTTCTCTCCTTCCCATCCTCTGCTCCTCTCTGTCTCGTTTTGGTTTGGGACACAACTGTGTGTAAAGGGTTATACATCACAAAAATTCTGTGTTTAAGCAGTTCTGAACACACCTATTTATTCACATTCTTATTTGGCTCATTTTCTAATATGCAGAAACCAGGGGATAATGTAGATTGTCTTTCTAAGCAATCCTCTCTCTGTTCATCTTTCTTTTGTTTTCTTTAGCAATTAATGCAAACAGGGAAAAAAGAGTTTAATTCTCTAAATGTTTCAGCTAATCTGGAATCCAAAATCATTAATTTGAGGGAAGAGCAGATGCTACAACGTGTGCAGTTTGTAGGCAGCTCTGTTTCAGTGTCAAGAAGGCTGAGCCCAGATCTTTTGGAAGTTTCAATTTCCTACCACTGATATCTAAAAGAGAAGGAACCAACAAATCAATGGCAGCCGCAGCTCCAGAGATAACCCTCGGCAGGGGGATGCCTTCGTGCCTCCTCACACTGCCATGCGATTTCAGATGGAATCCTGATCACTAATCAATAAAAGGAGTGGCTTCATCTCGTGCCAGAACCTCACAAGATCCAGGAACACGTTAGCAGGACACTCGTGTGTCGGGGTACAGCTTTCTCCAGGGAGCTTTTCTCCGCCTCACGTTTGCTGGAGACAGCTCAGCTTTAATCAGGCTCCGCTCCAACTGAATTGTTAATTACCATTAATAACCATTAATTAAGGCAGCTCTGCTGGGTGAGTGCAGCCCAGCAGAGAATTCTACAGAGATGGAGCGGTGAGTGCCGGAGTGCGCTTGGAGCGCGCCGCGTTATTCCCTGGATAAGGGATCCTCCCGTTCTTACAGACGTACAGAAACCCTAACGCCAATTTCACGGCAAGGACACGGAGCTGTGGAGATCTTTCCTACTCCAACTATTCAAAAAAAGTTTCCTGTGCATTCCTTTTTCTGCCTGTGATCCATCAAACGCGTGGATTTTATACGAGTCCGTGTGTCCGTAAAGCCTCTCCCCAGGCGTGGCAGGGACGTTTCCTGTAGAGAACAGCTCTTTTCCCCAGAAAAGAAATGAAATCGGGGGCTGAGGTTTCTGAGGAACACAGGATGGGGCCCTTGACTGCATCTGAATCCCGGTGTTTTCCCGAGGAGCCCGGGTGTTACTCCTCATTTCTGCCAGCAGATGGGGAAGCACTCCGCTGAATTGCCGGGGCTCTGGTGCCAGCACGGACTGCCCGACCTGCTGCTGCTCTCTGCTCGCTTCCCGGCTGTAAAGCCGCCTTTTAAAGAGTTAAATCTGCATGCCGGCACTCGGGATTAGTTTGGGAAGCAGGAGGGAATGGAGTTCCTGGCATCTGGGAACAAGTGCTGCCCGTAGAATGATCAGTTCAGAGCAGTACAACATGCACATGGCCTTGCAGGGGTGTTGGGAAATGAAGGATAAGACTGAGGAACTAAAAATCACTGACTCGAGTTCTGTGCCTGTTTCCATTGTATTTCCTTTCTGAATTTCCTTTCCCTGGAAGAGCCGAACCGATTTAATCCTGGAGCTGTGCAGTGTTCAAGCGCTTCATTCCTTCTCACGCTCCCACTTGGAATTTCGGTGGGAAGGCGAGTTTTACTCACAGATTTGAACGTGGAAATGTTCCCATCAGAGCACACTTAGGAAGTCTTTTACTTGTCTGCTTGGGTTTTTGTTTGTTTGGGATTTTGGAGGGGTTTTGTTTGTTTGTTTTTTCTTTTTGTTTGTTTTGTTAGGGATTTTGTTAGGGTTTTTTACAGTAGAAGGGTTTTTTTTGTTTGTTTTTGTTTTCCTATGAGTCTGTGTTGCCACAAATCAAAATTCAGGCTTTTCTGTCTGTATCCTGTCTTCTGGGAATTGTGAAGAGTCTTTCCTCAAGGGAGCATTACTCCTGCTCAGCTTTCACCCAGTGTATGCCATTGTTCAGCTCTGGGCTATTGTTTTGGGATATTATTGATTTTATGACTTGCATTGTTGTCTGCACAAAACCAGGCCCATTTCGGGTAATTTGCTGCTTTCATACTTTCTGAAGGAAGGGAATGTATGTTGGCTTGACTGAAGCAGCAACAAAACCCTGCTATTATTTTTTGTGGTTTAAAAAGAGAATCCATCTCACGTTTCCCTGGAGGAATTACTACAACATTACTCAGAACCCTTTGTGCGGGCGTTGCCTTTGGGATGTTATCCCAGATAGCGCACATCGCTGTTCTGACTGGCTGGCATGCAAAAAAAGATGGGAAAAACCAGTCTGCCAGGCAATTCTAGCCATAATTCCATGAAAATTCACAGTAGTAGGTGAATCCTCCAGGAGAGAGCAAGGTGCAGAGAATAATTTTACTTACAAATTCAAAGCATTGTACAAAGATTAAATCATCTCTGAAGAGTTTCCAAGTGATATGTCCTAGTGAAGTGATTCCAGTGACTGAAATGCTGCTCACACACCAGCAGGCAGGGAATTCAATTAAGGAGAAGAAAGTAAGAACACCAAGGACAAATTGTGGCTGCAGGGTATGTATCCAGATGCTCCTAATGGCTTCTTCTGCCCTACAACTGCTCTCTGGCCACATGGGCCTGTCTGGGCAGGGAAGCAGAACACAGAAAAGGAACAACAGGTCATGTGGATTGTTCTTTTTTCTCTCTTGCAGGAGCAGTTTGCAGTGCACTGGTTCCCTGCACACAGGGAACACAGGAACAGGTGAGGAGCCACCTGTGAGCAGCCATGGGACCACACAGCTCTGCTGGGACTGGGAAGGCAGCTCCAGGATCCCCAGGGTGTATCCAGCATGTAGCACCATCCCTCTGTTTTGCCACAGACATGTGAAAGTGAGTCAGTTTGTTTGTTTTTGAGGGAAGTTGCTGCTTTTAGCCACCTCACAATGACATTTTATGTAACATGTTCATGAGTGGGGCTGTACCAAGAGCCATGTATGTATATATATATATATATATACCTACACATATGTGTATATATTATATATAAAAATATTTATAATAGAGGCATTACGATAAAGTGGCCACATATATCTATATCTATATATATGCATGTAACTGGTCACAGCATCCTTCTTTTCCTGGCTTATAGCTCCCATGGTCCTTTTGCAGACTCCATATACATAGGAAAAATAAATTAATTCGTTCTTTGCACCAAGGAAGGTGCCTTATGGAAGTTGAAATGCTGCTCCCTATAAACGTGGCTCGAAGCCTGAAATTAAAGGGAAAGTATACCTGAGAAGGAATCACTGAGCAGAGCTCATGTGGGGCTGTGGCAAAGATTGATTTGAATCAGAATGAGGGCAAGGAGAGGTTGTACTGCCCAGCTGGGAGTTGGACTCTGCTGATCCCTGTGGATCCAACTCAGGATATTTTATGACTCGATTCAAGACTTAAAATAAATATGGAGAGAAGCATGAGCTACCTGGAAATTCACTCACTCATCCTACATTCAAGCCCCCATTATTGTTTAAAATGGGTGATTAATGGTGTTAGATGGTGACAGCATTCATCTGATTAAACTCCAGAGTAAGCAGAGTGGAAATGCCCAAGCACTGGATTGCTGGTAAATGTGATTTATGCTTTGTGTGTGTCAGACTACAAAAATATCAACAATCTTGGTGTAGGCACATCTGCATTATATTTGTGCAGCTTCTTCCAAAGTGCTGCTATTTGGACCAAAACAAATGCATAACATATTCCTGCTCTAGGTGTGTGCCCCCAGGAGGAAGCATCCAGCTCTGGCTGATGAGAGAAGAGGCAGAGCCCCGCCGCAATCCGTGGGGACTCCGTTAGGATGTGCAGCCACCCACAGAGTTACATGTGCTGGAGCTTTTGACAACACAGAACACCTTCCCTGCTGTCTTTTTCTCTCTCTCCACTAATCCTCCTCCCACTCAGCAAGAAAAGTCGCTGCACAGGCTCACACAGATGCCACGCTATCAGCCTTACTCTAGAATGATCTCACACGTCTCTGGAGAACCGTTCCTGACTCTTGTTTAGGGAGGCTGGGAATTGGGCTGCCTGCAGTGTTCGAGCTGTACCCTGGGATAAACAACACATTCAGGTTGTGGCTGATTACTATTTCCTGTTCTTGCTCTCAGAATTCCTTCAAGAGAAGCTCCGAGGAGCCTCACTTGGGTGGATGGAGCTGTGCTGTCCCCATCTTCCCTCTGCCATGTGAGTGTCAGCACAAATGCCTGTGCTCAGAATTTATGAACAGAAATGCAAAACATGTTTGTCTGGTACAGAAATGCCAGCCTTCCAAACCTCAGGTAGCCTCAGATGGTGTTTTTGACAGATCTGTATGTCTTGCCCGCTGCTGAAGATTTCTCTCTGGATCTTTCAGTGTCAGTTTTCTCTTTTGAGGGTGGTTTCAGTACGTGAGGTACATGATCCCATCCCTGGAGAGCATCTTCTGCCACTGGAGGGTCTCCTGGCAAGAGGGGCTGCCACTCACTGCATCCTCCTGCCTCTTCTTCCCAGCATACCAGATGGAGATGAACATGGAAGCACCAGGAGAAGTCTCCACATGACATCCAGCCAGCTCAGGACTGAATTTCATCCATAGCCACTACAAGTTTAGAAGGTGCTATAGAGAAGTGTAACCTTACAGAAATAAACAGTAAGGCAGATGAGGTTTTACAGCAAGAGAAAACATCACAGGTTTTGTATAATCTGGCACTGGCCATTTTTGGTATGCCAGGGTAAGTGTCTCTACTCTCTGTGTGGTTGGTTGAGTTAAAATGAATCCATGGGTGTAATTCAGAGGCTGGGTGGATTGAACTGATTCCTCTTCAGAGCCTAAGCTGGCTCTGTAAGTATAAACCATACAAATTCCTCCTTTGTCAGGGTAAGGCCTTTCAAAGAAATTTCAGTTTTTACATTTTTACACAATTCTTAATCCCATTCTATTCTTTCCTTGTATTTTGAGCACATTTGGAGCCTGTGCCACCACTTGACCCCACATATGTGCACCAGCTCCATGACTCACCTTTGAGCATTACTGCACATGATGAATATTGGGTTTGTGTAACAGATCTCTGGCAGAGGGGTTATTTCCCCAAGTTTTTGAATTAGGAGAATCTGGGATACCCTTTGTTTCACGCTTCAGTGTTTGACTCACGACTCTAATCTGGTACCAATCTTCATGGCTTTATGTACCTCTTACCCGCCTACAGCTCAGATTGATTTTCCTCCTACTCACCCTTTTGCTCACTACTCTCCTTGCAGTTCTCCTCTAACTAATCCCTCTTGTTTCCCACTGCTCTGTTTTGTTTGTTCCCTCCTCTTCCTCCCTGCTCTGTGGCGCTCAGTCTGTCCAGCCAGGGGACGCTGGGCCTTACAGCCAAGGGGGAAGTGCCTCGCTGGGCTCCTCAGCAGACTGACACTGGGTACTTCCAGGAGTGCTTCAGAGTATGGATTTCCTTAGTGACACTCCTTATCCTCCACCAGAACTCTCCTGTACAGTTAATCCTAAGCAATTCGTTATTAGACCGCTCGGAATCTGCGTTTTGGAGAGAGACCCTGCATTTCCCAAACCATCCCGAGTCTCTGGGGAAATGTTGGGCAGCTTGAGTTCAAGTTAGACAAACAGCATAGAGAATAGAGGGAAAATATTCCGGCTGTTTTGCACATGGCTGCTTTCACGGTATGCCCCTCAGCCTGCAAGTGAACTGTTTATAAAGATAATTCCACTAAGCACACACAACTGATTCATTTCCCTGCTGCAGCCACACTCCCAGAAATCCTACTGAAACACTTCTGCAGTTTTATTGCTGCAGTATTCCTGTGGGTTAGGGCTCCTTGGGAAGTTCACTCAATAACCTGTGCCATGACAGCTTGCCTTGGTTGAATGCACAGAAAGTTTAAAAAACAATACAAACCCAAGTGGAACCAAAGAGCTCATGGAACAGGAATATCCAAATGCCTCAGGGTGAGCTGATGGGTGGAGCAAAATCTTCCACTCCTTTAAGAGGGATGCTCTTGCTTTCTGTGCCCAAGGATCTTCTGAGGTCTCCAGGTTATTATAACCCTTCTTCTAACAAGCATGTTTTATTAAAGAACATGTATTTCCTAAAAGATTTGATTTGATGACACAACCTGAAGGATACCACAAGTCACTTTTCTCCCAAATCTTTATAGCCCTGTATGGAAATGGTTCAAACACCTGCCAGTATTGTCCAGATTCACACGACTGAGATGAAGGCACAGAAATGGTAAAGCTCATCACTGCTTTTGAGAGAGGGATATCAAACATCTCTCTTTTGGACAGGAACAAAGATGAGGGGCTGAGATTTCTTGCCAAACCCCACTGAAGTAGTTTGTCTGTTATTAATTGTATGCTTGTCACACTTTCAAGGCTCTAAAGGTCATGTCTTGGGGATCACTCCTGTTTCTCCTTTCAGACATGGCCAGGTGGGACTGTGAGTTTGACCTGCCTCCAATTCCACAAGAAGAAAAATCCTGAGGCTGTCTGGATTTGAGGCAAGTGAATGAATTCTCCTTTAGAAATATGATATTAAAAGTAGGGCTAGCCCATTGTGAGAAAACCTGTCCTCATGCTTCCAAAATCTCCCCGAAGGAGGAGGACTTGTCCTAACTTGGATAAACCTCCACAAAGCTACCGTGCTGCACTTGGCATTTGGAATGGGAGAAGCCATTCTGTGCCCTGCAGACACAGGAGAGATGATTGTCAGCTGCAGCCCAAACATTGGGGTTACGAAACCCAAAGTGCAGGAGAAATCCCCACCCTGAAAGGAGATATGCATTCGTGATTTGGAATTCCAATGGGACGGGAGGGGTGGGGTGGGTGTGCTGATTACAGTTAGGAGAAGGAATGATAGAGGATTTACAAGAGCTGGGCTCCTTCCTGCATTGAACACCGCAATGTCTCCTTAAAGGTCTGTGAGAGGGATTTAGTGTAAACTCCCTATTGATAATCCTGCACAGAATGAGCAATACAGGCAATCTGGAAATCTCCATGAGAACCCAGATTCCGGTGTCCCTCTTCCCAGGGGCACGGCTCCAGAGCTTGAGTTGACCTCTCCCTTCCTTCCCCACTTCCTTCCAGAAAGCATTGGTGCAGGATTTTCACTGGGGCCAGGCCAGCCAAAAATACACTTGCAGGATCCTGGATAAGGAATTGTGCCCTCAGCAAACACATTTCATGCCCATGTGGAGTATCCCACCGTGGCCGTGTGGTGGGGTGGTGTGGTGACAGCTCCTGCAGGATGTGAGCTGAGAAAAGCCACGTTTGGTGGGGCAGCTCAATGCTGCAAGTACCAAATCTGCAGCCAAAAAGTGCTTTGCAGGAAGGTGCAGGGTTGTGTTTGTCATGGTTTTACTCCCAAAGAGTTACAGGCTGGGAAGGGAGGAAAAGAGGATGAGGATTGCAAAGGCACTGCTGAGGACTGAAATGGATTGTTTGAAAGGTCTCACAGATAAAAGAAATCCAGGCATCTTGGAGGGACTGGGTGTGCTACAGACTCTCAGCAGGAAAGGGACTGAAGGAGAGGGTTATGGGCCTGTAAAAGCACAAACCTCTGGGGAAGATGGACAGCTGATACTTGTTCCCTGTGCACCATAATACAAGAACCAGGAGAAATCGAATTATATAGAATTATAGCGAGGCCAACAGAAGGAGGTAATTTTCCACTCTGGCCAGTTCCAGAGACAAGAGACCAAGCAAGATGAGCCTGAATGTTAACTACACCAGTCTTTTGGGTCTGGGGTTTTTCCTCCCTCAAGGGGTGAGCAGCCCAGGGAGCGCTAGGGAGAGCTCCTGTGGGGTGGTGGAACAGGAGGGACAGCATTGCTCTGGAGATGCCCCAGAGATTAGAGGCTCTGGGCCTGACTCAGGCCCATGTGACTCACCTGAACAGCCGTATTCCCATGGAAGCTGTGGAAAGCTCCCTAGCTGACTATCCCCAGCCCTCAGCTCCGGGTCTGTTGGATGCTCTCGCTCCCTGCCACCCGCCCAGGCAGTGTCACACTCAGCTGGGACTCACACGCTGCTCAGCGAGCCGGACACAGAGTCAATCTGAGCTCGGTCTGAGCAACTTGACTTCCATCAATGCTTCAGGTTTCAGTCTGTTTTTCCTCTTTCTCTCTTTTCCTCCCCGGGATGTGTGCCTGTGATTCTCAGTACCACACGCACCCCAACAAACCCAAGGTGTATTAACACAGACAGAACGTGAAATCCAAGTGGAAAAACAGTCCACAGAACAAATGCCATGGTATTTGCATTGCTCAAGGGCTAAGCCAGGTAAAACACCCTCAGGTTAAGTACTGAGCTGGAAGAAAAGCCCCTGCCCTGTGACAGCAGCTCCCAGCTGGCCTCTGCCAGTGGCACTGCTCCTGTGGTCCCTGGGGACCCAGCCCCTGCACTGCCACACCAGCCAGAACACTTCCATGCTGTGGGAGACGGTGAGCTGGAAGGAATTGCCTCAAAAACAGGTCACTGACTATATCAAAGGCCTTCCAGAACAATTAACAGCCTCTGTCCAAAGTGTTGTGGCACAGCACCTCATGCCATTCTATTATTACTCTTTAAATAGCCCCAAAATGGTGGGATTTTCCTTTCCTGTAAACTACCAACCACTGACACAAACACAGGGCTTCTCTCCACTTCTCCAGGTTTAATCTTCCTTTGCTCATGCCTGTTACATTATCACTGGGAGCTGAGCAACAATTAACAATTTATGTTTTGTGGGAGCTTGATTCAACTTGGCTTATAGCTTTGATGAGTTTTCTATGACTTTCTCAATAATACATTAGAAAATACTGACACGTTTTTAAATAGTTAATCTTCTACTGGTTTTCTGTGTTCTGAACCATGCTCAGCCCCCAGCCATTTCAATAATGCTTCAAGGAAGGTATAGACTGAGAACACAGAGGCAATTATGCTAGTCCAACAGCAACCTGATAAAATATTAACATTTCTTATGAAATTTTTCCAGAAGGAAGGAGAAAAATCATCACCAGCGAGAAACTTTGCAGGGGGGAAAGCCTTTTATCAGCAAAAGATTGTTAAGTAACACCATTAAATATTGAACGATGCTGAGGTGTGTCTGTACACAGCCTCATTTCAGCCCAGTGCGATGCAGATTTTATTTCCTCCTCTGCAGAAATCATGAAATCCTGTTTCAAACCACGTTGGAAGAGCTAATCAGATAAAATCTGTACCTTGCCACTACTACTTTTATGATTTGTTAAGTTCACTGGAATGAGTAATACAGCGTGAATAGAACATTTTAAATACCCCTTGGCAGTCACTGAAGTACAATAATCATTTAAAAGACACAGGAATTACCAAACTCCATGTGCAGCTGGTGCTGCATCAGACCAAAGGGAGCCCTGTCTGGGTGATTTTCACCTCTGCACTCTCATTTTTTATTTCACCAGAGATGTTGAGAAGAAATAAATAATAAATTGAACAGCAAAAAGCAAGTCATTCTGGGCAGCCTCTGGCAGCAGTTTGCTCTCATAATGCTGTTTGGTGAGCTGGAAGCATCCAGCTCATTTCCTAAAGAGCATTTTCTGCTTAGGTCGGGGCTCTATTAATCTGTTCAAGCCAATTCTCTGAAATCCAAAGCATCTGTATTTGGGAAGATCATGGTTTATTTGGATTCTCTTTGTGTCTACTGTCAGTAGATGATTTAAAGTCCAAGGGATTTACAGTGTAAAGTCTCTCTACTGGCATGTTACGGTGACCTTCTAAGTAGCACCTCCCAATATTTGGCTAATGTTTCTAAGCAGCATCTCTTTTAATATTTGGGTAACAGCTGGTCCAGTCAGCAATAAAAAACAAAGGTAAACAGCCACAACTGCTGTAAGTGGCTGAGCTTTGGCAGTGCAGAATGGCTGCAGGGAGTGGGGATAGCTGAGCTTTCAGTGTTTGACCAGGTGTTTTCCTGGCAGGTTCTGAAGATGCCTTGTGAGACACACAGCAGTGTTTGGGTAATGTTTTTGTATCGGGGTGCCTGGGGGTTCTGGGGAGCAGTCACTGCAGATGTGGCCCTGCAAGCCATTATTCCACACTGGCCCAGTGTCCCCACCTGTGCCAGCTGCTGTGTGTGGGGCAGCTGCTCTCCTCCATGCACCGCTCGCAGCGGGAGCCACATCCTCCCACTCCCGTCCTGCACAGGTGCGTGGAGCGACAGCTCTCACAGAGAATTGCCAGCCGTAAGACACACTAAATCTATTTTTCTCAGAAAATTGTAAATAATTCATGGGCCTTGGTTCTATAAAGAGGCCAGTTATAAATCATCTGAGCTGCACCTGGAGATTTCTGATGTCAGCATTATCACATGAATTACATCTCTCCAGGGCCATCTATTACTGTAAACACAATTCCAAAGAGGAATTATGCGTGTAACATGCGCAGGCAAACAAACAAGTAATCTTCAGCCTGGAATTTGATACTAAAGCTTTGCAATCCAACTGAGTTGTTAGTGGCACTAATTTTCTGCTCTGGCCTCAGAGATCCTTTCATTCTATTCCCGTCCAGGTGTATTTTTCCCTGGGGAGCACCTGTTGGTGGGAATGCTGGCTGACTGTACACCACCGGCAGCCCGGGTGCTGTGAGCTGCAAGCAAAAAGCCATGGCTGTGATTCCAGAGGGACATGAACACGTGCTGCAGGAAAGATCTGGATTCTGACACTTCCATGTATCACCGTCTTCACCGTGCTGGGATTGCAGGCCAGTTACAGCTGTTGAATGACAGCAACTGCTTTTTCATTCTGTTCTTCAGAAATAGAAACATTCTTGAATAGAAATGCCAGTTTCCTGATGGTTTCCAGCTCTTGGTGTCAGCACAGAAAGATATGGGAGGCAAAGAACTGAGATGTGTTTATGGACTGAACAAGAGGACTCCCAAATTCTTGTTTCTCTGTGCTATCCAGGGGGTGGGACACGGTAGAGACACTTCAGTTGAGGCAACCAAGCAGGTGA